AAGAGTAGGAGGCGTCCAAGTAATAACAAGAACCCCATCTTAGGATATGGGGAACAAGAACCCCATCTTAGGATATGGAAAAAACAGGATTGCAAAACAAACCCTTTTTTGCAATCTTTTTTTTGCACGAAGGATTGCAAAACAAAAAAAAAAAACAACATTTTGTTTGCAGGGTTTTTTTTTGCAATCCATTTTTTTTTGCAGTCACTGCCCCCCCCCGTGCCGGCCCCCCCGTCGCCTCCTCACGGGCTGGAGGTCACGCAGGGGGGAAGTGGCCGCGGGTCCGGGGCAACTTAAAGGGGGGATCAGCTCAGGGGGGTCATGTTTTTGCTCGCATCTTGTCGCTGGTTCTTGACAGTTTTCCAGCCTCGGGATGCTCTCCTGCAGATGCGGCTCGCCCAGAGCGTTCGGGGAGTGCCCCGATCGTCCCGAACGGCCGCCAGAGACACGAGTTATTTCCCGAAAGCGACACCGTTCCGAGTCGGTTCTGGGTGTTCGAGCTTCTCTCTCTGCGAGTGTGGTCCTTCCGCACGGTGGGACTGCGCGAGCATGGGGCCCCGTTCCTGCACCCTGCTGGCCCCTCGATGTCCACCCGATCCTCTTCGGAGGCGAGCGCCAGGGGGGCGGGGCGAGGGATGTCGGCGATCGCCAAGACGGCCAGGGGCTCCTCTGGCAGGAGGGGGGGGGCTTCCCAGAAGCCTGGCACCGCTCGGGCTCGTGCCTCGCTTCCTCGGCGAGCACCCTGGGCCAGGGGCACTTCTAGAACCAGGCGGTCGCAGACATGGATCAAGGGGGCGTGACGGGCCCCGTTTCCGTGGGACATCGCGGATCTCCGCCGCCGAGCGAGGCGGCACCAGCCGCATTTTGGGGAGGACACCTTCCCCGAACCATGGATTTGGCGACCGCGCGCCAAATCCATGGTTCGTTAATCCATGGTTCGTTAATCCATGGTTCGGTAATCCATGGTTAGCGATCGCCAAATCCATGGATTCGGCGATGGCTAATCCATTTTTGTGCGCCCCCGATAGAAACCTCCGAATGGAGGAGCCCCATGGGGCCAGGACCCGCTCCAGGCCCTGTGCCCTCACGGCGGTCCCTTTGGCCGCTCGCGCCTCCCAGGGTCGGGTGTCGTCGAGCACGGAGCCCTCGAGCAGAGAGCAGCCACCCCCAGCTTCCGCGCAGCGAAGATCGCTGGAGCCTCGCCGAAGACCACTGACTGAGGAGACCGCCCGACGACCGGCGGGCAACGAGGGCTCCGTCATCGAACACGTGACCTCATCTGATGGAGGCGGAGGAGGGAGGAGGGAGGAGGGAGGAGGGAGGAGGGAGGAGGAGGAGGAGGAGGAGGAGGGAGGAGGTGGAGGAGGAGGAGGGGGAGGACCCCCTCCCCCTCCAACTCATGGTGGTGGTGGTGGTGGTGGAAAACAGGCCCATCATCATCATCATCATCCTCATCATCCTCATCATCATCATCATCATCATCATCATCAGGGCGCACGTCCCTGTGGCATCGCCCACATGCACCGTGTGCCCAGGCAAATGTTAGTTTTTTTTCGCCCGCTGGGCGAGAGGCCGAGCCAACCCGTAGTTACCAGGGGCCCATGGCGGATCATTCCACGGGCGTCGTCGCACAGCGCACGGGTTGGATTTGTACAGGAGCCAACGCATCAATCTCTGTGTTCTGCTCAGCGGCGTCCAAAACATAAGTCCTTTGCTTTCTCTGTCGCGCGATATCGTCACCATCACCGTTCGCTGTGCCTTTCTAGATGTCCCAGCTTTCTGCACACAGTCGACTTACCCCAGTCCCTGTTTGTGTAACTTGCAACGTGCGGGGGGCGTGAGCAGAATGGGAGCCTCCGCATCTTCTCTCCTACTCTTTTTCTCCACCCGTTTCTTCTATCTCCACCTTTCTTCCTCATCCCTACTCCCCTCTCCCCCTCTACCTCTCCTCCCCCTCCCCGCACCAGGTGGGCGTGATCCGATGTGCAGCCACGCTCCATCCTTTTCCCTGGGATCCCCTCCTCTCTCCTCGGAGGAAGAGGCTGGACGGAGAAGGACGGAAGGGCAGGAAGGGAGGGAAAAGATGGTCGGCATCTGTATAGCCGTGATTCCAACCAGGCGGCTCGAGCGACAGTGGGCGACTGGAGTTTTTCGGCGCGGGGTCTCCTCAGTCTCCGCCTCCCCCTCATCACCATTATCATCCTCCTCTTGCGTGTCCTCATCATCCTTCGCCCCCGCCTCATCCTCCGCGTCCAGTTTGCCTCCGTCTCCTCCTCCGTCTCCTCCGTCGTCTTTCCATGCCACTTTTTACGGCCTGGTTGACGGTCTCGGAGCTCGGTCTCCGCAGAGAAGCGTGGTGTGACGATGCCGATTTGCAGCCAGGCCGTTGGAAGAAAGATCCTCTCTGGTTCGAAGTTCCCCGTGCTGCCCAGGGTCGACAGACCGCCGCGTGCTCTTTCCGTCATCCTCAGGGTGCGCTGGCTGCTCTGCTGACCCGGAAGTGCCTCTCCCGCCGGCGATGGCCAACGGGCGTTCCTGGAGGCCCCGGTGGCAGAGGCACCGCGGCATCCCCACTGCACGGAATGTCACAGGCCATCCGGGAGCGAGCCAGGACCCGTTTGCCAAGGACATGCAGGGTCCGGCTTGAAAAAGGAACACAAGCTTTTCAAAAGGGGCTCGGTCGTTCCTTTGGTTTGAATTCGTTCCGCTACCTTTTTGGCGGCGAGTCCCCCTGGTGTTCACTCGGACTTCCCAGAATTACTTGGATAAAAAGGGGCTTCGTTCCTTATTTTTCGTTCCTTAGGTCAGGCCGAATACTGTGCGGCGCATGTGTGGCAATGATCTTCTCGAGCGCTGGGCAAAAAACAGAACGTGCCTGCGGACGGGACCCCGCGAGGCGCGCCCTTCCTCCCCGAGGCCTGCGCCCGCGCGCGCGAGCTTGTGTCATGAACTAGATGGTTGCATGCCCAGCAAGTTTCGGAGGTGGACAGACCTCCTACCCTGACACGTCGATTAAGGAATTGGCCGTTTTCGGTTCGCGAGAGGGCGTCGCGGCCGTCATTTTTGCGGGGCCAGGTCCGTCGGTTTCGGTCCCAGGCCGCTTTAACTAAGGGGAGGTTTACTAAAGGGAGGTTTGTCCACCGCCGAAAGTTGTCGACGCGGGTGACTTTGTGGGGGCCTTGAAACCCGCGTTTGCTTTGGACCTCGAGGATTGTCTCGATGAGGTCCTTGTTGCCCGTGAAAGACCCGGCGCAGGAGGGGTGGCGACTGCGTCCCCACGCCAGCGGCCGAGTCCGAGGCCCAGGACGTCGGGGGCGGGGGGGTGGCAGCGCGGACCTCGAGGCACAGTTTCGGGCCAGCTTCGGACTCTTCTGCTGCATTGTGTGGTCGAGTGGAGGGGGGGTCGATGGCCACCCCCCTTTGTTTTTATTCGGGCGCCCGGGTTATCCGGGGTAACTCGGGTCCGGGGTAACTCGGGTTTGGAATCCCGAAAAAGGAACCCGAGTTAGCCCTGACCCGAGTTGCCCCTGATGATTCGGGGCTCTGGACGCCCGAGTTATCCGGGGTAGCTCGGGCCCAGGGTAACTCGGGCTCGGATTCCCGAAAAACGAAGCCGAGTGAACCCTGACCCGAGTTGCCCCTGATGATTCGGGGCTGTGACTCATGTTGCCATGGGGAGAGGGCTTGCGGGTAGGTGCTTCGGGGCCCAGCACGTTGGTCTGAAGACCTGGCGCTCTCTCTTCGGGCGCCGCATGCACCCCAACGGTCGCCTCGTCTGCAGGTCTCGATGGGTTCGGGGGGGGGGGTCGGAGGCATCCTGGAGGCCTCCAAATGTCGTCTTGGATGCATTTTTGGCATTCCTGGGGGCCTTATTGGGGGGCCTTCCGGGGGCCTGTTCGGGGCCGCTCGGAAGCGTCACCGGGCCTCTTCAGGCCTCTCGGGGGCCTGCGGGGGCCTGCTGGGGGCTTCTTGGGCCGTCTGCGGCACTCCTTCCGCCGTCCGGGCGCCCTCGCGGGCCCCTCTTGGGCCCGTCCTGGGGCCCTCTTCGGGCCTTTCCAGGGACCTCCGGGGCCATCTCGGGCCGTCTTCGAGCCCTCTTGGCGGCCTCCTGGGCCGTTTCGGGGCTCCTCCTGGGGCGTGTGCGACGCTCTGAAGGCCCAAGAGGCGTAGATAGTAAAATTGTATGTTTTCCTTTTTTTGGGGGGGGAAAATCGGCATGGTTTGCTTATTTGAGCTTTCTTTGGGAGGCCTTTTTGTCAGGGTTTCTGACGGCATCTTGGAGGCTTCTGGAGCCGTCTTGGGGACATCATCGGCGTTTTGTAGCGATCGTTCGGCGAATCGGGGCCCTCTTGGCCCATGTTGGGGCCCCCGCTGGGCGAGGGGGCCGTTCCGGAGTGAGCTGGGTGTCCGATTCCGCCCTGGGAATTAAATCGACCCCCCCCCCTGCTTCCCCTGGCAGAGCCACACCGGCACTCAGCCCCCAGTAGAGCTGAAGCTCCGGAATTGAGGCTCAGGCTGTTATGAGGGCCTTTGAAACTCACACGCTGGACCGGCGGATTTTTTATGGTTCGTCGAAAATCCGCCTGTGGGGGGGGGACAGGCCCGACCAAATGGTAGTCTGGGGTGGAGATCCGTGTGCTGGTGGGAAGGTCGCCCGCCCAAACGGTTCTGCTTCGGGCGATTCGGCAGCTGAGTGGGCGAAGGAGTTGCGGCGGGCGAAACTGCTGGCCAGAACTACAGGTTCAGAGCGTTGGCCTTTCCCAGACGTGGAGTGGGCCAGGCTGGTTCGGCCGCGCAGCGGCGTGGCGGATTTGCCGATGCACCATTGCCGTTGCCTCTTCCGCATCCTCCATGCTCCTCCCCTGCGTCCCATCTCCATCCTCCTCTTTTCTCATGTCCCCCAGTTTCTTTCATTGTGCTGGACTCACACAGGCTGTCTTGCAGGTTGACCATGCGACTTCATCCGATGCTGCCCGATCCCGCCACCCCATCCCAGGTTCATGGGCGCCAAGCCGGAGTACATCGCCTGGAAGGTCGACTGGCATTTCCGGGCCTCCGGCCAGCTCCTCACCGACAGGGGTCTCCCAGAGCACGAGGTTGCGGCGCCGATTTGAGCGCATTGAGCGGCATTTTGCTCTCCCCTGCAGCTGCTGGTCCTCCTCCTCCCTCCGTCCCTCCCCCACCTCCTTCCTCCTGGCGCTATCTCTGTCCACCACCTTCTCCTCGTTTCGTTGTCGTCCTCGTCATCATCAGCAGCAGCATTGTCTTCCCTTGCTCCTGGCGCGCACACGCTCCCCCCCTCCACATCTCCTCCTCGCTCCTCGCACGCTCCATGGTGCTCCTACCCCCCGCGCGCCAAGGGGGGGACGGGGAGGAGGAGGAGGAGGAGGAGGTTGACGAGTGGGGCAAGGGATTTTTGTGATATCTGCCTTCGGCGGTCTCCCGGATGGTGGTGTTCGGGTCTCGTCACCACGGCTGGATCCGCCTCGAAATTCTGGTCTGGTCAGAATGCGCCCCAAGAGATGCCATCGGGTCGGCGTTGAGGGGGGAGAGGAGGCAGAGGAGGAGAAGGATTGCGGATGGCGGGGAGGTGTAGGAGAAGGAAGTCGAGAACGAGGAGGAGGGTGAAGAAGTGAGGGATGAGGCGAGGGAGGTGGTGGAGGTGGAGGAGGAGAACGAGGATGTTGGAGATGGAAGCCGGTGTCGCTCGGAGGCCGAGGCGGTGTGACAGCTTTGGGAGGAGAGTTTCTAGGTACGGCAGGGGCCACACCATGACAAGTCGATGAGCGAATCGCCCCGTTTCGGTTCTTGGGAGGGGCTTTCTTCTCCTCCTCCTCCTCCTCCTCCTCCTCCTCTTTTTCGTCCTCCACCTCCTTCCACCCTCCAACTTATGGTGGCGGTGGTGGAAAACCGGCCCATCGTTCGACGTACGGCAGGGACCACACCATGACAAGTCGATGAGCGAATCGTGCCGTGTCGGCTCTCGAGGGGGGGGGGAGGCCGGTCGCATTTGTTGCGGGCCTGCGCCCGTCGGTGAGGGTCCCGTGAAGTCTTCACGAAGGGAGGTATTGCTGGAGAGGGCTGTGGCTGCCCCCGCCCCAGCGCGAGCGTTCAAGGTTGAACGCCGGCAGCGGCCAAGAATCGGCCGACACCGAACGATCCGCGCCATCGGGAAGCCGGGATCGGTCGAGCTCGAGGGGCCCTTGCGGTGCCAGAGGCCGGCGCGCACGCCGCTGCGGCACGAGGTTGCTGCAGCTTCTTGTGTGCGTTGGCTGTCGCAGGTCACGCTCCCTTCATGCCTCCAACCACCCTCGAGCACCCTCGAGCTCACCCACGTCTCCCCGCTACTGGCAGGGCCCCAGCCCGAAAGCAGGGTGGGGGGTCAGCCCAACAGCGTTGAGATTCGTTATCTGGGTCTGCACCGCGCAAGCACAACAAGACATATGCGAGGCGACGCAGGGACGAGAAAAGCGTCGGCCAACTCAGACCACTCCCGAAGCGTCTCTATCTCTCTCTTGGCACGTCCTGCCCCTCAACCATCGTGTCGCCCACACGATGATGGCGAGCCAGCTCGCATGATGTGAGGATCACGGAGGGCACGGTCACATTCTTGCGCTGCGCGCCCGTCCCTTGCGCTGAGGAAACTTTGCTGAGACGGCGCCTCCTCGGCGACCACCGGACGTATTGTCGCATGTGTTATGTGCCCATCGGCATCGTATGGCCGGCGCACGCCCGCGCGCCAAACTATCTTCTAGTATAAGGTCCTTGGCGTGCGGTGTTTGGCCTCTTCGCCTAGACAAGAGCAGTCAGTATACTACAATATGGTTTTACTGCGTGTCCTTGTCGAGGGTGCGCTTCCCAAAAAGGCGCATGGTCTTAGTATGTCGTTCCGCGTCCCGTATCTTCCTCTGTCTCTTTCTCTCTTTCTCTTTCTCTCTCTCTCTCTTTCTATTTCGCTATCCCACTCTCGTTACCTTTTCTAACCCTTCACTCCCCCCAGTCTCCCGACATCTATCCCTCCTTGTCCCCCCTCGTCTCCCGAGTGCCAGTCTCTTGGGATCCTTCACTGTCGCCTGCCACCCTTCCCGAGGTCATCGGCCCGGCTCTGGACCGGTTCCTCCAGAATACCTGCCCATGGAGGGGCATCAGGGAACAACAATTGCAGAAACATCATATCAGTTTGGAGGTCCGACCCAAGAAATTTGCGCGGACATGCGACAGTTCATGTGTACGTATGTTGTTTGTTCTTCTAGGGGAGGGGCCCGCAAAAGGACAGTATTAGGGGGCCAGATCTGAACCCTACCCCTACCCCCTACGATTTCTGAGGGGGAGGGGTAGGGTTCGCATCTGGCTCCCTAAGTGTGGGTAAGGTGGATGAAGCGGCGCAGCGCTCGAACATTGCTGCGGTCTTGGCAGGTCTCGGGGCGCACGGAGGTGGCCTGGCTTCGGCGCAGGCCGCGGCAGAAGATGCTGGCCAGCACCGCCGCTGCTGTCCATGCGCCGACGCAGGTAATCGGTCAGAGTGTCACCACCCACCAAACCACCCCAACCCAACCCGAAGGCTCCAAGTTGCCCTCCATTTCCAGTGGGGAGGGGCCAGGGAACACTGACAAACACGTATTGAACCCGTACCCCCCCCAACCCGCAATTCGGGTCTTCGGGTTGGGGTGGGGTGGTCTGGTAGGTTGTCAGAGTAAGGGGGCCGAACCGCCTTACACCATTCATGAGTGCGTTGGTGAAGTTGGACTCCATGGCCAGGATTCTGCTTGCTTGTTGTGGAACTCTCATGTTCCAACCCCTGCTGGTGTCCCTCTGCACTTTGCAGTCGAAGTGCCCTTCCTGGGGATCACACCCTGTTTTCTGCATGGGAAAGCTCTGCGCCTCAGACTGTTGTAGGCTCCCACTTTCCAACAGAAACGGCTCACGCCTAACACGTCCCCGCAATTTATTCAACATTTGCGTTCTCGCGCGTGACGTCCTCACACTCCCACCAGGAATCACGCTCTCGCTTTGGACCTCCTCTCAATTCGTGCAGACGCCGCGCTCTCGACAGTCTGGAATCACGCGCTCGCTCGAATCGTCCTCTGGAAACCGCGCTATCGCTAGAGACCTTGCGGTTCATTCCGGAGGGACGCTTCAGTGACCCGCTCTCTCGGCCCGGCCGTCTGGGCCCGTCCGCCCGCCCGACCCGCCCGTCGGGATCGCCGCTTGCGCTCCTGTGTCTAACCCGACGTATGCTAATCTTTCTCGTGCTCCATCCTTCTCCCGCCCCCTTGCCCCTTCCCTCCTCCCTCCCTTCTCGTATTCGCTTTCTCCTTGCTACATGTTTGTCCCTGTCTCCCTCCGCTTCCTGTAGTAGAGTTACATACGACAGTGCGCCAGTGGATTCCCCTGAATACGCTGAAAAATTACCATTACTGCACTCGAGAGCGCCACTGGGTTTGTGGAGGACGATCAATGGAGAGGAAGCATGTTGCCAAATCATCTCCAGATGTCTAAAACATGTTTTAAACATGTTTGAAACATGTAAAACACATGTTGAAAACATCTTCTCCGACACTTGAAGCGCGTCTTAGATTCAATGACAGGACTGTTAGGGTGTCCTCTCTCGTGGCATCCGCAGCAAGACTGCTCGGGGGGGGGGGGAGCGCAGGGGCGCCACGCGGCACCTGGTGCTCCCCTACGCCGACGCCGGGCTCGAGGCCCTAGAGGCGGACGCGCCGCACGCCGCGCCGCCGACTCAAGCCAGCCACAGCTTGGATGACGTCGGGCCTGCCCCTCTGCAGTCGACTGGACGTAGGAGTGACCGCTCGCCGGAGTGACCTCTGGTGCGGGCCCAGCGGGGCCCCCCGATCGCCGGGTCATTCCTGCGTGCCGCCGAGCTGCGCCGCCGACCCGAGCCAGCCACAACTTGGAGTAAGTCGGGCCTGTCCCTCTGCAGTCGGCCCAGATGAGTAGGTCGACCCTGCCAGATCAGGGGTACCCTTCCAGGGTAACCTTCAAGGGTACCCTTCAAGGGTACCGAGACACGGGACGCAAGGGCCTTGTGTCCCGTGCCTCGCGGCCCATGCCTCCCACATGCTTGTGGCAATGTGGCCCCCGGGAGGGTCTTGTGCCCTCTCGGGTGTTCTGTCCAATCGAGTCCGACTGCACAGGAGGAGTATCCAAAAATAGTAAGAACATAGTCTGGGGACGATTTCTGTGAGCATGTTTGGGGATGTAGGGGGTATGTTTGGGGTATTCATTGATTTATCGTCCAACATCCGCCTGTAGGGGGACATGCCCGACCTAAGACTTGGGGGAGCTGTGGCTCTTTGTCCCCCCTCTCCCGCCCTCGAGGTTCAGGAGAGGAACAGAAAACACAGACACCATCAATCGTCGACTCCCCAGAAAATATGGGAAGTGGGGGGAAGGCAAGAACCCAGAAACTATGGGAAAACATGGGGATCCTGTGATTTGTGTCTAATTATTTGTGTGTCCCAGGGCCCCTTCAGAGGTGCAAGACTGCTTGTCTTGTCTCTTGCCATCCAGTGCTCTCATCTCCTGGCAGTGCCCTGTCGAGTTAGCGTTTCTGGTCTGATGTTGTTGGGCACAGCTTCATGCTTATGCCACCGTTCGACGACGACGACGAAGACGGCGACGACGACGACGAGTAACAAGACTGTTTGTCGTTTTCGTGTGTTCATGGAGATTTTCCTGCCTCGGCGTGCGTTCTGGCAGCTGCTGCGCCTCGCCGAGTGCGTTCTGGGGGTGCCTGATCGATTCGGCCGCCGGAGACCCGAGATATGGCCCGAAAACCGAGGTCAGTGTGTTTCGACCCGGTCGATCCGATTCGATGTTGACTCCGACCGGCCCAGTCTGTTTTGATTCAAGTACCCGATAACCGAGGCCAGTGTGTTTCGACCCGGTCGATCCGATTCGATATTGACTCCGACCGGCCCGATCCGGTTTGATTCCAGAGTTCCGAAGATCCGATGCGGCCCGATGTTTGCATGGCTCTGTTGCGCATCCTGGCGCGGCCCATCCGATATGATGTTGATGTCGATTCGGGGCCTGTGCGGCCCGATTCAATACACGTTGGGATCCGATCTGATTCATTCGATGTTGACTGCTCACGTCTGGCTCGCGAGGTCGTCCATGCGTTGGGTTTCCCTGCGGCGGTTAGGAGCACAGCTCCTTCAGTTGTGGCTGGCCTGCTTCCTCTCGCTTTGCGCTTCCATGCCTCTGGCGACTTTTCAGGCGATCTGAGTCTGGTACCGTTCTCAGCCATCTCTGAGGCGTCATGCCGCCATGAGGGTTCTCGTCGCCACGGCCGTATCATCCTTCGTAATTGATCTCAAAGCTCTCCAGGAAAGGTCCGGATGCAACTCCTGGGAAGTCAAATTCTGATTTTGCCTTGATTCGAAATCTGGTTTGATTTGGCTTAGTGCCGCTTACTCCCGCTCAATCCCGCTTAGTCCGGCTTAGTTCTGTCTAGTCCGCGGCTCAAGATGGTTCAACATCCCCCAAATGGGGCCTAGTCCTCCTTGGTCCCTCCGACGAAAACCTCCCAGCAGTTGCCTCCGAAGGCAGGTACAGGGTTTTTGTCCCCGATCTCCATGTCAGACCTCCTGCAGCGAAAGGCGAGAGAATGCCGCGCCAGAAAGCTGCCCGTCGTCCCCGGTGGCAGACGCAACTCGCACCCGTCGTGCCCGGCGCGGCTCGTGCCTCCCTCGGCCTCCGAGAGGGCCGGTGCGTGGCTCCCGCGCGGCCGTGGAGAGAGGAGCCCCCCCGTGGCGGGGGCTTTGCTCGTAGGCAGGTCCTGGATCCGAGAGGTGCGCGGGCCAGCGGTTCGAGGCGGAGGCGCCGTCGGGAGTCCTGTCGGGAGCGAAGGAAGGACGCACACGTGCACGAATCCACGCCGGTTTCGAGAGTGCTGATGGCCCGAACGTTCGCATCGCGCGGCCAGTCTCACGGATCGAGGGGCCGTCTTCATGTGCATAGCTGAGCGCGTACGTCTTTTGTGGGCTCCCTATCTGAGTATAGTCGGGAACAACGCGAGTCTCCCAAGAAGTAGTTGGCACCAGCTGGAAACTGTGCTATCTGCTGGCCCCCCAACTTCAGGCATAAACAAATGCTTTTTTCAGGCGTTGCAGAATGGGTCCAGCCCCGCCGGTGCTAACTACTCCTGGTGGAGGCCCGCGCTTCCTGCTCGCACCGGGGGGGCGAGGTTCTCGTCCGCCAGGTGCAGTTAGCACAGGCTGCTATAACTGAGCGCAGCTCTTCGAACCCTCCTCCTATCCTCCTCCTCCTCCTCCTTCTCCTTTACCTTTCCTCCCCCATTTCCTCCTCCTCTCCTCTCCTCTCCTCTCATCTCCTCTCCTGACGATGGCCCCAGGGGGAGGGGTCGAGAGGTGCGCGGGCCGGCGGATCGAGGAGAAGGGGTCGGCGGAGGTCCGGGTGGGAGTTCTCTCTTCTCACGCCTTGCGCATGTCCTTCGCTCCTCCTCGTGGGTCCCTCCTCCTCTCTCCCTCCTCTCTCCCTCCATGCCTCCTCCGCCTCGTGTCCTCCTTTCTCCTTCCTCTCTCCCTCCATCCCTCCTCCACCTCGTGTCCTCCTGTCTCCTTTTCTGGCCCCTCCCCCGTCGTCTCCCCCGCGCCTCCCCGTCCCTCGCGGCCGCCTTCCTCGTTGACTCTGTTCTGGTTGCCTGCTCCACCCTCGCCATGGTCCCTTGCTTCGTGATGCCCTCCCCCCTCCTCTCAGGAGGGGAACAAAACACACACACACACACACACACACACACACACACACACACACACACACACACACACACACACACACACACACACACACACACACACACAGACACAGTTTTATCGTCGATTCCCCAGAAAATATGGGAACATATGGGAAGGGGGGGGGGGGAAGGCGAAAACCCAGAACAGATCAGAAAAGATGGGGGAATCCTGTGATTCGTGTCTGCTTCTTTGTGTGTCCCCGGGCCCCCGGATCTTCTTCCCTCCCCGTTCCCTCCCAGACCCTCTTCCGCCCGCACCCGAGCCCCGGCTCTTCTTCGCTCGATCCCGTGCCGATGCGGCCCTATCCGACGCGGATTCCGGCTCGGCCGCGTGTCCCGATGTTCTCTTCCGAGGGCCCGGTTCAGTGTCTTTATGTCGGGCCTGTCCCTCTGCAGGAGGGATATGCAAAACCAGCCAAGAACTTAGTAGGGGGGGGACATGTTTTGCGTGTTTTATTTAATCGCTTCGCTCATTCCGCCGGCCCGTATTGTGCCATCGCAGGCGTTTGCTTGCGCGTTCGTGGCCTCTTGGAGCCTCGTTGGGGCCGTTTGGGGCCTCTTGGCGTCTCTTTTTAGGCCTCTTGGAGAACTCGGGAGGCCTCCAGGGGGCCTCCTGAGCTCTCGTGACGGTCTCTTGGGGGGCTTTCGGCGGGCTCTTGGCGGTATTTGTTGGTCCTCTTGGGGCCTGGGGCCTGACGTTGTTGGTCCTCTTGGGGCCTCACGGGAGCTTATTGGGGCGTCTTGGGGGTGTCTTGGAGAGTCTCTTGGGGCCTCTTTCGGGGTCCTGGGCGCCTTCTGGGGCGGAGGGCTCGATTTTTCAGTTCTCGGTTCCCTTCTTGAGCCCCTCTTGGGCCCGTCTTGGGGCCTCTTGGTCCGCCTTGGGCAGCACTTGGGCCGTCTGGGGGGCGCTCTTGGGCCGCTCCGGGTCCGTCTTGGGAGCCTCGTGGGCCGTCTTGGAGCAGTCTTGAAGGCCTCTTGGGCCCTCTTGGAGCGTCCGGAAGCGAAAAGGCCAGAACGCAAAAAAACATCTAAAAAACTAATGAAAATCAACGATGTTGGCAACTTGGGGCCCTCTTCGGGGGCCTCTTGGAAGGCCCTTGGAGCGTCTTGGAGGCCTCTTGGGCTGTCTTGGGGCCATCTGGGGCGTCTTCGGGCGATCTTTGGCCGTCTCGGGCCTCTCTTGGACCGTCTAGGAAGCTTCTCGGGGCCCTCTTGGACCGATCTGGAGCCCTCTTGGACTCCGAAACAGAACTCCGGCATCTCTGTCCCGACCTTGCCGGGACCTTGCCGGGGACTTGCCGGGACCTTGCCGGGGTACTTTTCGTCCGGGGACCCCCAGGGGCCGCCCCGCGCGCGCGAACTAGAAATACTGTTGACCAGGTACCGGAGATCTTAGCACGCCCTGGCCCGTTGGGCCGGCGAATTTGACTATGCTTGGGCATTGTTTGACTAGTTTTAGTTTTTCCTCCAGAATCCGCCTGCAGGGGCACATGTGCCCGTCATCCGCCGAGTGTTTCCAATGTCTTCAGTGCTCATTCCGGGCGCGCGTGTGCGCCTCGGTTCTGAAGGCCTCACCGGTGCCCCAGCACACCTGACATGACGTGTGCTCCCTGAGCGGCGTGCCCAAGCAAAGCCCCACCCACGCATGGCATCGTCGTTTTTGTGTTCATTGTGTTGCCGATCGGCGCGCCACCCCCCCTCCCCCCCCTATGGAGTAGGTGCCTGGCTGTTTGGGGCGCTTGTTTCGAGCAGGCAGCGTCTCCCCTCGTAGGACCCAGTGCTGCAGACAGTCGCAATAAGCAGAGGTCCAGAGCCAGACCCCTCCCCTCCCCCCCCTTCCTCCCAATGCCGAAACGCCGACAAAAAAAGGAAACGCTCACGAACTATATTTCGCGGCTGGTCGTGTGCGGGAGAGTGCATACAGAACATGGCATTTGAGTTGGGAGAGAGGGCGAATGGGGAGGCCCGTAATGATTTGGTGCGATACAGCATTGCAGGCGACGTTTGTCTATGAATCCGCCTGCGTTTTTCTTCAGGGGGGATATCGTTGTGCAGGTATTGCCTCATCGGGATGGGACTGCCGCTGAATTCAGAATCCAGACCACACCGCTAGCCAGTCACACCGTTCGACGGACCTTGGTTTTTACATGCCATGCGCATAGCTAGATGGATATGATGTAGCACACAGGGCATCGCAGGGGTTACTAGGCCATGACGTCGCTCGGACTCCACACGCGCAAGCACCAGCATAAATCAAGCGCTAGCGTCGCGGCCGCGCTTGCTGGCGTTCGCGCGAGCAGCGCAGAGGAAGGGCGTTCGGGGTAAGGGGCTCTTCCGCGCAGACGTCGGGCCCGGCCGGGCGACCGAGGGGGATTGGGACAAAGGGGGGTGATGGTGATGTTGATGATGATGATGTTGATGATGGTGATGTTGATGGTGGCGATGATGATGCTGATGATGATGATGATGATGATGATGATGATGATGGTGATGGTGATGGTGATGGTGATGGTGATGGTGATGATGATGATGATGGCGATGGCGATGATGATGATGACTGTGATGATGATGCTGCTGATGATGATGGTGATGCTGCTGATGATGATGATGCTGATGGTGGTGGTGATGATGGTGATGATGATGATGATGATGATGACGATGGCGGTGACGATGACGATGACGATGATGGAAACGACGATGACGATGATGGTGATGGTGGTGATGATGTTGATGATGATGGTGGTGATGTTGTTGATTATGATGATGATGAGGAGGAGGAGGAGAAGTGGTGGTGGAGAACGAGCCCACCACATTCCATTTTTGTCCCCTTTCGTCCGCCTCGATCGGGTCGGAATCGGGTGCTCGGGCCCTCTTGAGCTAGGGCTCCCCGGATGGGAGCCCTCAGCGCCGAGCTCTGGGGCAGCCGAAGGTTGGGAAGGGGGCGGAGAGGCCAGGGAAATAGTGATGCGGGCAAGATTTGTGTCCATATCCAGTGCGTCTCGGATTTCCTTGGAAACGGCGCCACAAGGCCGAGGGGCACTGGATACCGTATGGCTCAGAAACGAGCCTCTATGGGGGCAGACATATCCATATCCAGGGCGCTTCGGGTTTCTGGGGAACGGAACCCGAGGCTCCATGCTGCAGCACGTGGGTGTCGGCAGAAGTATTGCCCGCAAGGGAAGTGGGGGGAGGTCGGAGAAGAGTATCGCGGCACCACACCACCATCACCTTCTGTGCTACCCCCAGCGAGGAGGTCCACGACGAGGCCTCCCCGGTCTGAGCTACGGGGATGTCTCGAGCGGGGCAGCAGGGCCGCACCACTGCGAGGACAACCCCCGGGCTCCTCACGCTGGGGGTGGTGGTGTCGATTGTGACTGTTCCTCAAGCAGTGCTGGTACTGAGGGTCTCTTACTTCTCCTCTCAAGAACTGGGCCTGTCTGTTGGGCTGGCGGCTGCAGTCAATCCGCATAATGAAGATGGGCAATATTCCCAAGGGTACCCTCCTCGGTCCATCCTCGGCCACCGTCGTTGGCCGCACTCCGCTCGAAAAGCTTCGAAATTGGCGCTCACGGCCCTTGCATCCTTACCGTGCATCCTACAGCGGTATGATACAGGCCGATTGTATGTTGCCGCCGTCGCCGCCCCGTCGCCGCCTCATCGCCACCTGTCGTCTTGGCCTGTCTGTCGTTCTGCCGGCTATGTTGTCGCCGTCGCCGCCTCGTCGCCGCCTGTTGTTTGGGCCTGTTTGTCGGTTTACCGGTTATGTTGTTGTCGTCGCCGCCTCGTCTCCGCCCGTCGTTTGGGCTTGCTTGTCGGTCTGGCGGCTACGTTGCCGCCGTCGCCGCATCGTCAACGCCCTAGATTGCACAAGATAGTTGCACAGCATAGATTGCACCGCATAGTTAGATTGCACCACATAGCCTTCACAATGTAGATGGCACCGCATAGATTTGCACCACATGGGTTGTACAATATACATACACATTTGTTATATATGTATGTATACTGCACCGCGTAGAGTGCACACCATAGATGGACCACATACATCGGACCACACACACACATTGATCCACACAGGGTGCACAACATTGATTGCACCATGTATAGACTGCAGCAGTTAGACGGCATCACATATATTGCACAACATATATTGAAAAGCGCAGTTTTCCCACCTGAGCTGCGCAACCTACAGTGCACCACATAGCGTGCACAACATACACTGCACCATAGATCCTGTACAGCATGCATTGCACAGCTTACATTGCATAACATACATTGCGCCACGTAGGTTGCACACCACATATGTTGCAACAAACACGCTGTTTGGAATCCACGCTAACATTACTACAAGGAGGGGACAGGAGTGGAGGGGGACGGGCGCGGAGCAGAGAGCTGAGGAGGACGAAGGGGGGGAACGCCCCACCCCATTCGCCCTAGGTGCCTGATAGCCCAACCCGCGCGGGAACGTGCGGTTTCGCAGGTCTATTATGCATCGCCGACTCCACGTCGATGTTTCTCCTTTTGGGCCAGTCCCCCCCTTATCGTTCCCCGTGAAGGATTGCGGGGGAGAGGGCGATGGAGGACGAATGCAGAGGAGGGGGCCGGCTAACAAGTCCAGGCAGCACCTTAGGCGCCCTTCCTCACCCTGAGAAGCCCTTTTAGAAGCCCACGAGCCTTTCTGAGATGCGTGCTCCACCTCCCCCTCCTCCTCCTCCGCCTCCTCCCCTCCTCCCCTCCTCGCCTCCTCCTCATCATCCTCATCCTCATCCTCCCATTCCCCTGCTCGCACTGCAGGTGTTCCTGCACCAACCGCGCCGAACGGTCGCGCCTGTGGAGAGCTTCAGTCGTCGCCCCAGTCGCCCAGGTCCTGTGCTTTCTCCCTTTGTCTTGTAGCTGGTGGCATTCGATCCGATGATGATTTCCTCCCGCCTCTTCCTCCTCCCTCTCACCTTTTTCTCCTCCTCTTTCTCCTTCTCCTCCTCCTCCTCCTTCTCCTCCTCCTCCTCCTCCTCCTCCCACTCCCGTTCCTCCCCACACCTCCTTCTCCTCCCCCTTTCGCCTCCTCCTCCTCCTCCTCCCGCCTTCTCATGCTCACCCCCTCCTCCTCCTCCTCCTCCTCCTCCTCCTCCTCCTCCTTTCCACTCATTGTTCTTATGCAAGTATCCTGCTTGTAGCACCGTTGGACGTGTCGGAAGGGCCGGCGGGGCGTTTCGTCTAAGACGTCCGCACCATCTATGACCTTGAAACTCAGATGTTTGAATGAGGCTTACGCATGGAAGGCGGGCGGTTTTCAATTAGTGGATTTTTTAGCGCCGCGCACATTCGCCTAAAACGTCTGCAAGAGCTTGAAGCATGGAGGGCGGGTGTTTTCCAAAATGTGGTCCTTGCCTCAGCGCCGCGCACATTCTTCCCGAAAGCTGCCCATATCCTCTCGGATGGAGGGCGGTTCCTTTCCAACATGTGTCTCTCGTCCTAGCGCCGCGCTCATTCGTGTTCGAAGCTGGCAAGTGCTTCGCGGATAGAGGGTGGCTCCGTTCCAACATGTGGTTGCCGCCCCATCAGCGCGCACATTCTTTAACATTGTGGCAAGAGATTCACACATAGAGGGCGGGTGGTTATCATAATTGTTGTTCTGTTGCACCGCCGCGAACAGTCCACATTTGTTATATATAAAGGTCTGCAAGAGTTGATTGGGTTGACGACGGATGGTTTTCTAATTGTGGTTTTCGTTTCATCTCCGTGGCTCTCCCGTCATCTTCGCGCGCATTCGTAGTAAAAAATGCAAGAGCTTTGCGGATGGAGGGCGGGTGATGTTCAACACGTGGCTTTCGTTTCAGCACCGCGCACATTCGACGGGATCTTTCCGGATGGAGGGTGGCTAGTTTTCAAAACGCGTATCGCTTTAGCGCAGCGTACATTCGTTCTAACAGGACGCATGTGTTTCAGGGATGTAGGGCGATCCTTTGTCAATCTGTGATTATTGCCTTGGCGCCGCGCACATCTGTCTTCAAATATGGCAGCGGGGTCAAGGATTCGTATGTTTGAGGTCCCAGGAGCGGTCTTCTGGTGCGGTTTTGGTTTGTCACGACGCAGCCATCACATATGTCTTCGCTACGCTGAAGTCCCAGGAGTTGTGCCTCATCACAATGTAGGAGTGTCAGAACGCACCAGTCACAGGGATTTGCGGCAGTGAAGTCCCAGGAATGGTGATTGAGGGTTCTCCGGCCGCTGTCCTCCACCGGGGCAATTCCCGCAGTGAGGTAAATGATTGTAGGGACCCATGAAGAGGGAACTTGGAAGGAGGGTTTATTGCATCATCGTTGACACGTTTTGGGTAAGCACTGGCCCTTCTCCTCCTCCTTTTCCTCCTCCTCCTCCTTCTCCTCCTCCTCCTCCTCGTAGCAAAACCGTGCCCCCGCCTCTGGCCGTCGAGCACTTGCACGCCGCTTCTCCGTATTCGGTTGGGCTTCTGTTTCCGATGTCCATTGCTGGATCTTGGCGACGCCTGCTCCCCCTGCAGAGCTCGCGCGCCGGCCACTCTTCGGATGGATCAGCGCTTCTCATGCGTTTTTCTCCTCGGAGACATCGGGGGACATCGGGAGGCAACGGGAGGCAGAGGGAGACCAAAGCGCCCAAGCACTTCCAGGTCTGGGACCCCATCCACGCCTGGTTTATGATAAGACCATCATGTGCATATATACGTATACACATACATACAACGTATACGTATATACGTATACGTATATACGTATACGCGCCCGGGAGGGCGCGGGGGAAATTCCGTACAAAACGACCGTTTTGTATTGAATTTCCCCCCTGGCGTTTTCAACGAGTCTGTTGGATACGTCTTAAAGAGAATTCGTATCATTGGCTATCTGGGTTTTCCTCTGTCTCCTCCTCCTCCTTCCCCCTTGTCTGCACGAGTTTGCGGTCAGAATTTCGGCCACGTTCGCAAGACAACTCTGCTGCTTGTGCAGGTTCTTCGCGAGTGTTACGTTCTACCCGAGTCCGGGGCCATTGCTGCTTTTTTCTGCCTCTAGTGCTCCTGGTCGTGTTCGTTCGGGTTCGCGGTAAGGAAAGTCCCCTTGAGAGGCAGCGGATTCCTCCTTCTCCCCTGCTTGTTTGCAAACAAAAAAATGTCCGGCCCTGCAAAGTAGCAGCTGTACAGTTGCAGCGGAGCCTGGGCAATGGACAACTCATCTGTGCGAGGAACAAAAAAACGTATACACATACATACACACTTACATCTATACATATATGCGTATGCACAAGACTGCCCCGGCGCCTCGTGCCACGCACCTCGGTCCTTCCAGCGTCGCATCTGTGAACACTTGGTGCCATCATCTCTGGCCTTCGAGCACTGTCCTGTCCAGGTCCCCCCTCACCCGCTCCTTCCTGCATTCACCCTCGATTTACATGCTCGTGCGCCACCTCGGGGCGCACTGGCCCCAGCCCGTTTGGCGCAGACGCCGCCCCACTGGCCACGGGCCCTGCAGGTTGGCTACCGCCCCTGCCCAGCAGCTCGCGCTGCCCCCCCTGTAAAAGGCGCCGCCGCTGCGCCGCCCCCCCCTTTCTGCCTCCCGGCTGTCCGCTGGAAGCCCGCGCCCAGGCCCCAGCTCCCGCTTCCGCTGGGCTTGGCATCGCTCGGACGTGTGCATTTTTCCTTCGGCGAGGACCATCGAGGAGCATCCTTGATCACTTGGGGAAACAATCACGCACGAAACCGAAAAAAACACAGGGAATGGACGTCCAAGCGATGGCCAGTGGGCGCCGGCCTGTCCTCGTCTGTGAGCCGTGCGCCAGCCCTGGGCTCGGTTTTGCTGCCCCGCCCCTGGCCTCTGCGTGGCCTCCGCGAGGCGCTCGGCGGCAGCTGGGCGCCTGGCACTCTCCCGCCACCCTCCTCTCTGCCTGGCCTCTTTCGCCCGCCGCTCGCCGCCTCGCCCCCCCCCCTCCCGCGAGTTGCTCAGGAGGGAAAGAAACACACAGACACAAGTAGTCCTCGATTCCCCAGAAAAGATGGGAAAATATGGGAAGTGGGGGGGGAGACAGAAACCCAGGAAATATGGAAAAATATGGGGAATTTTGTTATTCGTCTGTATTTATTTGTGCGTCATGGGGCCCCTTCAGTTGCGTTCGCGCGCCGCCCCCCCCACGCCGCACCAGCGCGTCGCCACGCGCCCAGCCCTCCCGCAGCAGTCCGGCGCAGCCACCACCAGCCCTTTCCCCACCGCGCCCCTGGCCTGCCACCCTGTCGTGCCGCCGTTCCTGCAGCTCGCTACTTGCTGGGCCCCGCCCTGCACTGCTGCCGCCGGCTCCTCCCCTGGGTCCCCTGGGTGACCCCGCGACGCCGCCCCGCCCCCTCGCGGCCTCGCCGCGTGAGAGCGCTCTCTTTCCCCTTCTGTCTCCGCGGCCGCCTCTCGTTTTCCCCCATCCTCGTGATACCCAAACCTGGGTTGCCTGGGCACGCGTGCGGATTGCCGCTGCCACGCTGCGTCGCAATCAAAAACTTCGTGCGCCACCAGATGTTTGTTCAGGGTGCGTTGTGATTCGAAGTTCGAAGCGGGCCCGATGACGTGGCGACGAGCACGCCACCTGTAGGCTCCGCGAATCATAAGACGAAGGGCCTTGACTATTGGGGCGAAAATAGGAAACTACTTACATGTTCTGCGGGTTCACTGACGGATTGGGACCGGGACCCCAACAATGATTGGATGCGAAGATATTCAGGAGGGACAAGAACACACAGACACAACAAATCCTCGATTCCCCCGAAAATATGGGAAACTATGGGAAGTGAGGGGGAAGACAATTACGCTACCGAGGAACCCCACATACTCATATGATGGCTGGAGAGATGAGAGCTGAAGTGAAGCATGTGAGAATGATGTTGGTGGCCGTTGCCCCGCCGATACCGCTGTGCCCTGGACGACCGTCATGGATAGCGGCCGCGGTGAGAGACCACCCCCTGCGCACCCCGTTATGGTGTCGAGAATATGTCATGCCTGCTGTGCCCTGGACGACCGTCACGGATAGCGGCCGCGGTGAGAGACCACCCCCTGCGCACCCCCTGTGGTGTCGAGAATATGCCATGCTTGCTGTGCCCTGGACGACCGTCACGGATAGCGGCCGCGGTGAGAGACCACCCCTTGCGCACCCCCTACGCTGTCGAGAATATGCCATGCCTGCTGTGCCCTGGACGACTGTCACGGATAGCGGCCGCGGTGGGAGACCACCCCCTGAGCACCCCCTTATGGTGCCGAGAATATGCCATGCCTGCTTTGCCCTGGACGACCGTCACGGATAGCGGCCGCGGTGAGAGACCACCCCCTGCGCACCCCCTATGGTGTCGAGAATATGCCATGCCTGCTGTGCCCTGGACGACCGTCACGGATAGCGGCCGCGGTGAGAGACCACCCCCTGCGCACCCCCTACGCTGTCGAGAATATGCCATGCCTGCTGTGCCCTGGACGACCGTCACGGATAGCGGCCGCGGTGAGAGACCACCCCCTGCGCACCCCCTATGGTGTCGAGAATATGCCATGCCTGCTGTGCCCTGGACGACTGTCACGGATAGCGGCCGCGGTGAGAGACCACCCCTTGCGCACCCCCTATGGTGTCGAGAATATGCCATGCCTGCTGTGCCCTGGACGACCGTCACGGATAGCGGCCGCGGTGAGAGACCACCCCCTGCGCACCCCCTATGGTGTCGAGAATATGCCATGCCTGCTGTGCCCTGGACGACCGTCACGGATAGCGGCCGCGGTGAGAGACCACCCCTTGCGCACCCCCTATGGTGTCGAGAATATGCCATGCCTGCTGTGCCCTGGACGACCGTCACGGATA